CACGATCAAACTATAAGAGACTTAAATAGATTATACCTTAAAATATAAAAAAAATTACTGAGCTTATTACTAAAATCTTAAACTGAACGCAAGCGATATCTTCTAGTTAACGCGATCAAACGATAGGAGACTTAAATACATTATACCCTAGAATAAATAAAAAATTACCGGGCATATTACTATTGTCTTGAACTGAACACAAGCAATTTCTGCTTGTGAACACGATCAAACGTTAGGCAGCTTAAATATATTATACCTTAGAATTAAAAAAAAAATTACTGAGCTTATTACTATAATCTTAAACTGAGCACAAGCGATATCTTCTATTTAACGCGATCAAACGATAGGAGACTCAAATTTATTATACCTTGAAATATAAAAAAAAATTACTGAGCTCTTTACTATAATCTTAAACTGAACACAAGCGATATCTTCTAGTCAGCGCGACCAAACGATAGGTGACTTAAATATATTATACACTTGAATAAATAAAAAATTACCGGGCATATCACTATAGTCTTGAACTGAACACAAGCAATTTCTGCTTGTAAACACGATCAAACGATAGGAGACTTAAATATTTTATACCTAAAAATATAAAAAATTACAGAGCTTATTACTATAATCTTAAACTGAACACACGAGATATCTTCCATTTAGCGCGATCAAACGATAGGAGACTTAAATATATTATACCATAGAATGAATAATTAAATTACCGCGCATATTAGTATAGTCTTTAACTGAACGCAAGCGATATCTTCTAGTTAACGCGATCAAACAATAGGAGACTTAAACGTATTATACCCTAGAATAAATAAAAAAGTACTGGGCATATTACTATAGTTTTGAACTGAACACAAGCAATTTCTGCTTGTGAAAACGATCAAACTATAGGAAACTTAAATATATTATACCTTACAATATAAAAAAAATTACTGAGCTTAATACTATAATCTTAAACTGAACACAAGCGATATTTTCCAGTTAGCGCGATCAAACGATAGGTGACTTAAATATATTATACCCTAGAATAAATAAAAAATTCCCGGGCATATTACTATAGTCTTGACCTGAACACAAGCAATTTCTGCTAGTGAACACGATCGAACGATAGGAGACTTAAGTATATTATACCTTAGAATATAAAAAAATACTGTGCTTATTACTATAATCTTAAACTGAACACAAGCGATATCTTTTAGTTAATGCGATCAAACGATAGATGACTTGAATATATTATACACTTTAATAAATAAAAATTACAGGGCATATTACTATAGTCTTGAACTGAACACAAGCAAATTCTGCTTGTGAACACGATCAAACGATAGGAGACTTAGATATATTATAGTGGTAGCAACTTAACAAGTAACAACAAACATGTTGACACTAGTAACAGGCTGAGGTTGGCAACATTGCACCGAAACCTTTCGTACAGTTTTATTCTGTAATTTATATTATGTATGTATCATGCTGGTTTTTAAATAATATTTAATAATATTAAGTAAAATCTAAAGGCATTATCTATAAATGTTGCGGTAGCGCTGTAGCGGCAAAACCTCGTATCGCTACTTAGATATGTAGCGGGTGCTACTGCTGCCGCTACTGAAAATGTAGCGGCCGCTACATGTAGCGCGCTACTGCCCACCTCTGCTCACAGGCCTTTATTCACTGTATAAATGTAAGAAGTTATTATCAGCCTAAAAAATCACCTATAGCTCTATTATGCCTCATTCTCGGGGTTCCCTCTGTTATCAAGAATTTAAAAGTAAAAAAATATATAAAAATCACAGTTTATTTATTCGATAAACCGTTTCGGAGTCAAGCTCGACCATCATTTCAAAATCCTAGCACCCGAGTATAATTACTGAATCACTTTTTTCGTTATTTTCTTTGATTTCAAATTCTTGGTACATTAATGTAATCAAAGTTCAGAATGTGCATTAATTTGGACGATGTCAATTAAAATTATCACTCTTTTCTTGCTGTTTTTACATTTTCTTTATTTTTCTTCCAACGCTGATTATTATAATTTATGTTCATATTATAGCTAGTTATATTTCATACGTCCATTTCATAGCAAGAATTTCTAACTGCATGCGTAAAGTATGCGCCGATAATGTCTGGATGGCAAAACTGATAAAAAAAATACCTATTTCTGGATCTAGAAGTCAGACGGTGAAAAGCCCCTGTTCAAACTGCGGCTGAGCTTGATAATTGACGGGTGAATAGAAGTGAACTTTGTATACAATGAAAAATCTTTGAACTTTTACGAGCGCGTGTGCATTTTTAATTCCGCTTAAACGAGAGTGTGTGAACTTGTAATTACGTGTGCGTACGGATGTGTACAGACGCAGTTGATTTTAAGTGTTCTCTGTTGTGGCAGTGTAACTTTCCTCGTTAGTTTGCATTTTCCGTCTCATAAGTTACATATGGACACAGTAAAAAGCATCTTTGCAATCAATCAGGTGAAAACGGGTACATTTCTCGAATTGAGTACATAGGGTACAAGATAAGTTTCCGTAGAATATTTTATTTTGTCTACGCGAATTGGAATCGGAACATTACTGAAAAAAGTCAAGACTACGTGATAAGTAAAAAACGTCTACGATAGACAAAATGATATTGAAAACAACATTGCATTGGATATGTAAGAGATATTAAGAGATATTTTATTAGTTCATTATAAAGTTTCTGATGTTTACAAGATGGATGACGAACATAAAAATTTCATGATAAGTGAGCGACAAAATAAATGAGGAAAAATTTGCGTTAATAGACTTAAAGGTGAGTGTAAAAGAGCAATTGAAGGGGAACTGCATGGGAGAACAAGAATTCCAATGTGTATGTGGAGAGGAGGGTGAGAGAGCAAATGGGATGGAATCATTGGGCAGTCCTCTAAGAGTTAATATGACCACTAATTATGTTAAATAAATTATCGAAAAGTTCTGGTACAATTTACACATCTTTCGCAAAGAAATAGATACAGCACCAGAGAATTGAAATACTGATACCGGTATATTGCTACAATTTTTTCATGAATTGCCATCTATATTACTACATTTTTAACCCTATCACTAAACTGTTCTCTCATTGATATACTCGTACAATCACTATAATCGCCCATAAATTTTACATTTTTCATATTCTCTGAAGCATAATTCCCTGTTTATATAGTTTCCCAACATATGGTAAAGTTTGTTTACGTTTCCCTCCATATGTTAAAAAGAATTACTCACTTTTTTGCAAATCGTTCGAGATTACATTGAAAATGACGTTCGAGGAAATGAAAGTTTCATGCACGCACACAGTCATCGTCGTGTTGTTAGCCCCGGCAGCTCCGTCGTACGTCCAGCGCATCAAACTGATAGTTAACGGTTGAGAAGCGTCTGTGAAAAAATTGCCAGCTGTTTACGACCTCTCTACTTCTTCTTGTTCGAATCATAAATACATCATTTATACGTAGAAAAAAATTGTCTGGAATTAATTTCCGATTCAAATTGTACACCACCGCATGTTGGAAGCTTTTTTGGATATTTTTTATATTCAATTTTTAACGGGAAGTTTAAATCATATCCTGCAAGATATAATACTGTATGTTGTATAACAATAAAAAGTATCGCACTGTTATCTCTGTTCTAAAGTAATTGAAAATAACTTACTTTCCTATTTATAAGATTGAAAGTTCGTTTAAAATGTATAAATAGTATATTTTGCCAATAACACGATGCATCTAAAGGTAACGAGGATTTTTTAGGAATGGAAATGTATAAACGGCAACTTTCAATGACTGAACGCAAAGCTTAAATTGATTCCATTTTTAAATCTAAGGACATCCTTACCCATAACGAATTTGCAATCGTAACACTCTGTCAGTCTACATATTCATGATAACCTCGAGTATCATATTCGCAACATGTGTTATTTAGCATGCCTATACGATATTCTACATCTAACTTCGTCCAAGCCTTAAGAGTACTTGACTGGTCACCATACCTCACCATATAAACCAGAAATACCTAGCAAGACTTGGCTGACAAAACCACTCAACATCTGCGCATATATGGGGTCTAGTATACGGGATCTATAGCTGTGCTCAACAACTACAGCAGAAGCTAATTACAATCTTCATGCTATTTTTGAGACTAGATTTCAACATATTTAACTTGGAATATGATAACAACCATGCAAACGCACTTTTGTTTGTGAAGGGAATTAGATTTAGACCTAATCAATCTATACGCTGAATCTCTCTCAAGCCCAAACAACAGTGTACGGAACTATTGCTGGCAAAAGCTTGCATAATTACATGTAATTCACCATCATTCTTTTCAGCAGTAACAGTTTAAAGGCAGTATCACCATCAACACCAAAAGTAGTAGCATGCGGGGACCCACTCCCCTCACCCACAACACGAACATTAGACAGCATGTCAGGGCTTTCATCATCCCTTATATATGCACCGGTGGTGGTAGCATGACAGAACCCACACACCTTACCATCGACAATCCATACAGCAGCAGCACGCAGTGCATCACGCAACTCTGAATCTGCATATCCAGTAACAGCATATTGAGCATTGCACAAAACTTACAAATATCACCAAAATCTTCACCGGCAACTTGTCAGTCCTCGCACCGCTCTTCATCGTCACACAAAGTAGGAGCAAGCACAACGTCACAGTATTTGCACTTCACACCGACAGTAGCTCACGCAAAACACCATACCCACTGCAGCACAAGCAGGACAACACAGCCACCGCAGCAAATACAGAACACCACACCTACTGCACAACACACAGGACACCACATCCACTTTAACACAAGCAGGACACCACAACCTCTGCAACACACGCAAGCAGGACACCACACCTACTGCGACACATGAAGGTTAGCTAACCTGTCATAATTTTCGAGGTCAGAGTCAGTATACAAAGCACCCAACCACTCTCTAAATTTACATTGTCAGTATAGCTACCACGGCACCATACCACTCACCCTTTTCACTCTTGTCTTGGTACGCATGGACAGCCGGAGCTGCCAGCAGCCATAGGAGAAGGGTTCCCAGCAAAGTTCTACACGCCATCTTGAGCTCGCTGCAGCAGGCGCTAGCACGTGCGCTTCTGTCGAAGCGTGAGAAACATTTTAAGAATTTCATACCATTCGTAAATTTGAAACTAAAATTGTTAACTACTGAAGAGTAGGCTATCAGTAATAATAAAATCTGAAAAATGTCTCAAAATCTTAAGGAAAATAGCTATGATTTTTCCTTTGACTGCGATGAACTTATCCACGCTTATTTTATTCATACTTACAATATTTATTCGCAATTTATTCTCTAGTTCCTTCCGTACGATTTATGATCAGAATATCATCGATGTTTAATTTTTCATTCAGAAAAGGCAGCATAGCCAGCTACCAACCACATAAATTACCTGTTATAATTCGTCGATTTGGAGCTTAGATGTTATTTTTGAAGCTTCCGACACTGAAGTGGCGGTCAGAAGGAAGGCGACTGATCACAATATTTCCCGCCAGTTTCTTTAATGTCAGAACTCCGCCTATCTCCTCTTGAACTGTATCATCTTTATCAAGGAGTGCTTCAGCCACCTGATACGGCGACTTACATTCAAACGCCACATCTTTCCGGACAATTCACCTTTTCCTCTTCGTTTGTCGTGTATTTATTTGCCTGATAATTAATGTACAATTGTAAAGTAGCTATTTCCTGTATATGTGAAGTAGCTTTTTCCTGTATTTGTGAAGTAGCTATTTCCTGTATTTCAATAACTTAAACGAATATGGAATATATACATTTCAGTTCGTTAATACTTAGTGCTGAATTCAATAATTTCAGTGAATGTCTGGAACAAAGAAGTCCAGTAAATTCATCAGTGAATTATGAAAAACTGATTTGACCGAAAATAAGTGGATTGTTAATGACACTGCATGAAAAAAATGGGGTCTTTAAGATGAACGAGCGAGCGAACGATACATTATATATGCTTGAAATGAATTGCAAAACAAAAAAGGGTTTACTAAGAAATAATAATTTTTTCACTAGAGGGTGAAATTTTTGGGTAATTTATTCCAAAATTGAAGGGAACATGTTCTTAGCATTGAAATTCAAACTTCATTAGATGCTATGCTGTCTAAATGAGTGTGGGTGGCAATGTCAGTGCAAATGGCAAGCAATTTAATGCGTTCAACCTGCACAATTTCATTTTAGAAGCAGGCCATGCATTTTATAGCAGAATTTTCAGCAACATCAACAACTCAAGGCCTTGGAACGGTAATCACTGAAGTTATTATATGCTCATTTGAATGATGATCTGTCTGTCACATACTCTTAATACTGTAGTTATTATGACTAGACTTAGAGCATTATTAGTAAGGATTATAACCTTATTCATTCAATAATAAATCCAAGTCTCCAAGTACCACGATGTAATTCAGTTTGTCAAAAATGATTTTAAATTAATACACTGCAGGTATTTTAATTTAAAGCTGAAAACATCGGTATCATTATGTAGGAATGATATTTACACTCAGTACTGACTTTTTCGAGTGAAGACTTATTTAGAACAAAGTTTAAGATATTATTTGTTAAAAATGACTTGTTACCAAATATTTTTGTTTAAAGGGGCAAGTTTTTGGGGCAGTATCATTATATATATAACGAACTAACAAGAAGCTAATAAATAAAACTAATTCTCTGGTCTTTAACAAAACTTGCTTAAGAGAAGAAATTCTGCCAGCCTACACTATTATATATATATATATACGTGTACCTTACTGGTCGCTGACTATTAAGTTGATGTCAGTGTTGATAACAGTTGACTCGATTCACCTCGGATGAGTTATGAAGGTCTTACATGCTCTAAAAATAACTGGTAAAGCACCACTGCGGAAAATCCTACTCGTCAACTAGACTGTGAGATTTGGCAGTTACTTTGATTGGATGTAATTTGGAGCTGTATTAAGAATAATAATTAAGAATTGTTCGAGCTGTACAGGGTTAACAGTAAACAACATCGACATCAGCTCTATAGTCAGTGACCAGTACGGGCACTCGTAGTGATACGGCTAAAAATCGTGCTATTTGAAGTAAAAACCTGTATTTCAAACTTTTCTCTCTGTCTTTTTTGTGAATAAAAACAAAGTTGTCTGTGGTTTCCACTGTTATTATCATGCGGTCATTATATTATATTAAATTGCGAACATGCCGCTGTCGTAAGTTTTAAAATGATTATTATTAGACCCCACATTGTCAAATCACGATTTTTATCATGATTTAATTTCATTATCTGTGTCACGCGCGGTCCTGTCGAGAAGTACGGTCAAGTCGTCAGGCATAAAAAGTGGCATATTGTTGTTATGATGGACGCAGTATAAAATTTTCGCTATAACCTAAGATTCACGCCGAAATTAAGATGTAGTTTAAATTTTGAGCAAAGGTCAGACTGTTAGAGAATATTCACGCATTTGCTCGCCGTTTTTTCTGGACTTTGTTGAAATGCGAGTAATATACCATTGAACGTGATAGATATTGTATGATCAGCTTGATGGAAAATTTTCCAATAATCTAAAGTATTGCAGACACTTATGTATGAGAATTCAGGGAAGATTTTAATTCCGTATTGCGCTGAAACGCTTTAGATGCAATAGGGCAGGGTTAAATTTAAATTTGTTACTGGAGAAAAATATTAAATTACAGAATAGAACAATATTATTTCATTTTAAACAAATATAAAATTGCTTTTGTTTAGATTTTGTTTTCTTTGTACTGGTTGAAAATTTCGATGGATATGATAAATATTTATTAGATCTTCATATGCATCCTAATTTCCCAATATTAGTCATATTATATTTTTTTAATGGGACTTATCAATGAGGAATATTGGAAATTTCAGAATTTATGAGATTTGTTTACATTAGCTTCGCTCCCATACTGGAGAAATACACACCCAACATCATCCGGCTGTAGAATTATAGTTTTAACAAAACTAAGACTCGGTTCTTCACTGCTCTTGGCAAGTCCTATGCAAGGTAAAGTTGAAATATGTTCACAAATTCAGCCTATATGTTCACAAATTCAACGAATGACGAACTGAGTCTTGCTGAATAGAATCACTGAACACGGCAAAATTATGAAAGTTACTGTGGGGTGGGTACGAATATCGCAACAAAGACATGACTTTAAAAATTTATTTTCAAGTATGGTCAAGAATTTGTAAGATATCTGCAGAAGTAGCTTGTACCAATAAAATCTGGTGATATCATTGTATATATTTATCATTGTATAATAATATTACGGATGATAGTGACTGTAATGATACAGTCATGGAATTTCTCTGGATTACACAAATTCCTGTAAATTTACACAAAATAGTTATTTTGAAAAATAAAATGAAGGACTTTTTTTTAAATGAGATTACAAAGCCAAGTTCAGAAAGCTGTATTCAAAATAACAAAAACAAGGAAAAAAATGTGTGAAATTTTTACAAAACATGCAAAATGAGAGAAAATTAATCTAAAAATGATATCGGATGAGTTTTGAAAAACGCTTAATATTTCATTCGGCAGGAGCGGCTCACTTTCTGTGTGCCTACAGCCAGCGAAGCGGACGCTAAACTTATACTCTCCACTTTTGATTCGGCAGGAGCGGCTCACTTTCTGTGTGCCTACAGCCAGCGAAGCGGACGCTAAACTTATACTCTCCACTTTTGATATGCTGCTGCTGTATAATCACGTACAGGGGGGTTTGAGGTCAAAGTTTTCACTCGAGCCATTTTTCCCAGGAGCTCAAACGTTAGAATCTCATGAAAATTGGCACAGGCACGTACCTGTCTCTTATACACATCTAGATGTGTATAAGAGACAGCAATACGACTCACCACGTGTCGAATATTGCCACACAAAGTGACGGAATATTGGGATTTGGTAGGTTTCCATTCTAAAGGCTTTTNGTCAGGCTGTGTTCAGTTCGGTTAGGTTATGTTAGGGTTTTTTGGCTAGGTAAAACTAATGTAAGATTGTTTTAAACACTAATGATACACACAGGAAAAGGCCACAATTGGGGGATTGCTGTGTGTCGTAGGAAATGTGTGGCAAGAAGAAGAAAAGAGAAAAAGAAAAAAAAAGTAAAAAAAAAGTTTAGCGGCTGATCTGGTTAAAAACGAGAGAAAACTGGCTAATTCAGGGGAGTCGGTGATAGAAGCCTGTAATCGTTCAATAGTGTATTGGAAAACAGCTTTTGTGTATCATTAGTTTCATCACATCAAAGAAATAATTTGAATCTTATATTCGTACTCTAGGAGAGCAAGTTGGTAGTTAGAAAAGTATCCCATTCGAAAGCCTAAATGAAAGAAGCTTAAGTTGAGTGAAATCAACCCATGAAATTAATCATGCACAATCAATTAACCGATACGCGTGCAATTAATGACCAGAGAATTCGTTGATTTAAATTATCAGAGAGTCGGACAATTTTTCAGATGACGTTGGTATATCGAAAGGCATATTTCAGAAAGTAGTTTTAGTTTATTAAAGACGTTTCGAATGCAAAAAAAAACATTTATTTTCAAGTTACAGGAAGCATTGAATATTGAAATTTTGTGGAGATAAGAATATAATATACGTATATAGGATACTACAGTAAAATTTTAACAAGAAAAATCACTCTGAAAACTATCTCAAAGTTCAGACAAATCCGGTAGTCAGGAGACAGTTAGGTGGCGTCCAATCCGCAGAGACGAGGTGCAGTCATCGTCGAGGAAGTCAGCCATTTAAATCAACGGATTCTCTGGTCATTAATCGCGCGCGTATAAATCAGCAAACTCTGAAATCTAAAACTAATCAATTAATCATGCATTTTTGTTATTCAAGAAGAACGAGGAAACGTCGATGTAAATTATAAACTGATGATTCCTTTTCCTGAAAAAAATAAGCTCCAAAAATAAATACTTGAACATAGTCTATGGAGAATAAAAAGCAGCTGTTGGTCACTTTCTTTAATTATATTACTTCATGGTCTATTGCTTACTATACTTATACTTATTCAATATTTCTCAGTAAATTGCAATGATTAGTTCATTTCTGGCTTTCGCTTCGAACTAATGGTAGAGCAGAAGTTTCTTGCCAGGAGTGATGAACAGTAATCGCGATTGTAAGATAACATTTCATGACACTTTGACAATATTAACTTATCGTGCAGGTGCAGTAATTTTCATTTCACGCAAGAAATACTTGTACGGAAACGCCAAAAAAATTTTTCCTATCAGTAATTTTTAAATGTAAGAATTTATGAGTTGGAGCTCGAGCTTCTCCAAGTTATATCAGGTTAATAATTAGTGATTAATGAGTAAACAACTTTAAACTTTGGTCTACTGATGGTGACTATAACTTACAAGCGTTTAGAACTAAATAACGTCGACGATATTTAATATCATCGAAACTTTACTCGGCAATTTTCGGATTATATATAAGCTTGCATTTACTGTGGTCCATTGATTAATGGTTAGTTGGTGTAGAGCACTGGAGAGATCACTGTGTTGCTGTAGTCGCTGTAGGAGATGGCAATATGTGTAGGTGAAGGCGAAGACTCAGAATAATAAAACCCATAGCAAAATGCGCCGACTTCGATGCGAGAACAATCCAGATGAATAGGATCTGTCGTGCCGTCAATCTGATCAGAAACGTTGGTTCCATACACCAAGTAGGTGCCAGCATCGTACCGGTTTGAGAACCGAAAATCGATGGAAGTGGCCGAATCTTCCAACTCCAAGTGAATATCTGTACATAGAAGATGAAATGTCATGTCAGTAAAATCATTGTTTTGTTTTAATTGCTTTATATGAGAAACATCGTAAGTGTTTCATTACTTCGAGATGCAAGTTATCATAGGAGTGAATCAGGTATGTTGTAAATAATATTAAAATTTTCAAAGGTTTAGGTTTCCTATAAAAAATATGATCGAAATTTTTTTAATTCAATCAGAACGTGAAAGAAATAAACAGACGTAAAATAAGAGGAACTTGGACATCAATTAAACAAAATATTAGAAGTAGGAAAAATGAAGTGAGAATTGTTATCAGGAACACTGACTTATACATTTGCAACGGACAGTCCGTATATAATTTTCTCAATCATAAATAGCGATCGGATGCGGTCAAAGGTTAAAATTTGTGATTTATAAATTCTAATTTTAAAGTATTTCATTCGTGATTACTTACCCTGAAACGTGTTCACTACAGTGACACTGATGCCTGTTTCGTCGGTGAGAACCCCGCAATACTCGTAGAGAATGTCGCCACTTGTCATGCTGCTGACAACACATTTTCCTGCAGTACAGCTCTTGAAATTAAAGTCTTCCAGTGCCGCGCGAATCAGCAGCTCTGAGACTAATGGATTGTTGATTGCAAGTGTGCTGTCTCCGTAACTTAAAGTTTCCGCACTTAACTCACCTGGTGAAATGGATTTTAAAATAAATTGAGAGGATGTCGTGTTTTATCCATTAAGTTTAAAACTTTTTCCTTAGAGAGGGAATACATAAAAAGGGAAGCAATCAGAAATTTAAAGCGAAGAAAACGCCTAATTAATTCACTATATCTTCAACGAAAAGCGAAGACCAGTTCCGGAACAATGAGCCAGTTAACGAGTAATATGTTCCTCATATTTACTCATGAGGAACAATGAACCAGTTAATAAATAAACAACAAAATCTAAAAAATTAAGGCCCACATAGAAGCAATTGAATTTTTTAGTGTAATTAATTCTTAACATAATAATATGTAAATTACAAAGTTTTTTTTACGTCTTACTCGATGAAGGCAAAATGCTGGTCGGTTTCAATCCTGTCACGCAGACTTCCAAGTCAACATGACTTTCATCCACATTAGTCACGCACACCTTGGGCGTCCCATCCGGCACATAGCACGTTATGCCTCGCTGGTCTACAGGGGTTGAGGCTGGGCAAGTCTGGTCCGTAAGTTCGCCTCCTAAAGTTCCCGCATTGAGACGCAACAGTTTTGTCCCATTGCAGTCCAGTTGAGAGACAATAACTGGAAAATTCAGAAAATTAGTGAGAATCTTGAAAGAAGTTTATTGTTGAGATCTGTGATCATAACTTATGTGTAGCGTGCACTCGAAATTCGTTTGAACCAGACGCCACGATTATCACTTCGTATAATAATAGTGAAATCATAATAATAAAATTATTAATAACATTGATAATGATAATAACACTGATAATAATAATAATGATAATAACAATAACTATAATAATAATACCACTAATATAATACCAATAGTAATAATAATACTGGTTTGATTTTGTTTTCATTTAAAGTTTAGCATGGTTTAGGCAAAAGTGTATAAGCTACAAGTGAAAATTTGACTGGAGAAGCGCTATTCATACACGTGTGACGGGATGCATAATTATGTGTTTTTTTTTATTTTTAGGAGTACCGTTTTGACCACGTGTAATGTTGATGATGTTCTTTTGTTAGATTAGTGACTCAATATGATTGAATATATTTTTATGACTAGAATATGGAATCTCGTTACTGTGATATTATTTTATAACTAAGGAATGCGTAGGCATATTTTTATTTCGTGACTGTCTGTAGCGTTACGAAATAAAATATCTGTCTGTATCGTTACGTTGCAATTGTCTGCTGGGCGCCATGCGTCTTCTGCTAGCCCTGACACGTTTAGACTTATTTCTTTGATGTGTTAATTGTAAATTATTACTTGACCTGTGATTTATTCACTTTAATGTGCAATTATTTTGTCAGACGACTTTATTTATTTTATTTATTTTATTTTGTGATAATCGTAATGATTTACTGTCGTAAGAGACAAAGTGCTGTCAATCTATGATACCATCGTTAAAGTAAAAACGAATACGCCGCCATCTTGCGTATAGAAGCTAGACATCTTAGAGGTAGATGTTCTATAAGAAGTCGATTATAGCTTATAGTCATGTTGTGGAAAGGTTAAACTCTTTATTAATATGCTTTTATTAGAGAATAATACTTCTCATTGTATTTTATAATGCTTAGTCAATGTTCATTTGTCTAGTCTATTGACGAACTGGTATCGACTCACGCGCTCGCTAGTTAATTATCCTCAAGAGTTATTCTACCTTATATAAAATTTCACTTATAATTATTTGACCAAAGGATTATATTATGATTCTATTTTATTGTAATATACTATATTACCTATTTTATGCATATAGACGCTTATAGCAGCCCATTTCTTGTACATTGTAAACGGGGTGTTGAGGTAAGCTCATTTTAGCTGAGTTACCCCTCGCGGGAAAGTTGCGTGTGCTCAGTGTTACTAGGTTGGGGTGCACATGTTTCGACTCGAATGCAAGTAGCCAGATCTGGGCTTCCAAGAATAAACCCCACCGTAGTTCAGGAGATAACTCTTAATGAGTTCCTCTAACGGAATTATAACGGCGTCGGTGGAGTTCTTGGTTAGTTCCAGTTGCTGGTAGCGCTCTGGTACGGCAAGTTCCCTAGCACAGAACTTCTCGTGTTGTGGTGGCTAATAACCTCTGAACTCGAGTATATTTGTCAGCGTTCTGGTACAGCTTCTGCAGTACCGTTTGCGCCTCTCGTGTCGTGGGATTTAACACCTCCACGCTCGAGAGTAATCGGAACTTTGCAGTGTATTCGGGCAAGAACCCATAGTCGCTGCGGCTGGTCGTCGGCATCTCGGTGCGGTTAGTTCCGGTACCATTTGCTGTCCATTTTTGTGATTTGGCAGTGTATTAAGGCTAGAACCCATTGTCTCTGCGGTTCGTTGCCGTCATCTCGGTGCGGTTAGTTTCCGTACCATTTGCTGTCCGTTTTTGCGATTTGGCAGTGTATAGGGTCTAGAACCCCTAATCTCTGCGGTTCGTTTCCGGCATGTTTGTGCGGTTAGTTCCCGTACCATTTGCTGTCCGTTTTTGTGATTTGGCAGTGTATTAGGGCTAGAACCACTAGTCTCTGCGGCTAGTCGTTGGCATCTTGGTGCGGTTAGTTCCCGTACCATTTGCTGTCCGTTTTCGTGGTTTGGCAGTGTTTTGGGGCTAGAACCCCTAGTCTCTGCGGCTGGTCGTTGGCATCTCGGTGCGGTTAGTTTCCGTACCATTTGCTGTCCTTTTTGTAGTTTGTTGCAAATTAGGGCTAGAATCCCTAGTCTCTGCGACTAGTCGTTGGCAACTTGGTGCGGCTAGTTCCCGTACCATTTGCTATATATCTATTTTGTTATTATCAGCTGTGTATAGGGCTCATACTGTGTGGTTTCTCGGCTGCTTGTTCTCCTGAAGTATCAAGCTTTTTTCTGTGAACTTTTAAACTAAGGCGAATAATAAATTGTGCGCCTCGAATGAAGAATCATGTAATTCGCCTGAAGATTACCAGTATACTACGAAAAGTTCCTTGTGTTCATTCCTCCTCTCTCCAACTCAAGGGAATTTAGAGCCGGACCGAAGAGCGACTCTTTAACCCTTGTATTTAGAATCAGTACGAAAGTCTCCATCAAGTCGGCACGCTACCCGTAATTATTTCAACATCGCGGCGGTGTTTCCGGTTACACACGGTATTGTTCTATAGTATTTGGCTGCGTTTCGATACGTTGATTACTCACCTCCAAAAGCAAAACGAACAGAGCTTTTTAACGTGGGGTTTGTGCCATCAACGATTAGTGTATATATGGTCTCCGATGAGGGAAGGGGCTGATATCCATCATCGTTAAAATAAATACAATTTGAAGAAGATTCATTCATAACTCCACTGTATTCTGCAGAAAAAGTAATTAATTTCATTTAAGAAAAATTATATTGGCTGTACTCCTGTCGTGCTTTTTAAAAATCCTCATCATTTCGTTTCCTTTTGATTTAGCACGCCGCAAACGACAACCTTAATTAACAAAAACGAGTTAAATAACTGATTGACTGGCATTAAGCGTAATCTACAGCTCATTATCGACAAATGGCATATATAAATATTATTTAACATTTTGTGTTGAGCAACTAATGAAGTTCTAGGCACAGATTCAGCTAGCACGAATTTTATTTCTTTAGGATCGGATTTCCTACTTGAAATTTGCGGAAGAACTTTTTGATCTAACGTAATATACGAGAGTGGCAATTTGAGCGTGGTTATCATATTCATGAATACATTTTAAGGTGTAGAATTCAAGCACATCCGGTATAATTTCAAAACCAGATGTTATTTTTTATGCCTTGCTGCTATGGAAAGCATATTCAGCATTGAATAATAATTAACATATTTGACGCTTTAATATAATATGATCGTTTTTAAAATGCACACAGCTGCTACTCACGTCTCTCGCCGATTGAGTCTGATGCAACGAGAAGATTGAAGACTAAGAAAGTGGCGAATGGATCTTTTGTACACACCGCCAACGTAGAGGCGTCACCCGCACCGTCGTAAGTCCAATTCAGAGAGGTGATGGTGAAATCGGCTGAAAAAAAATTTAATGGCGGTAAGTAATAGAGCGGCAATCAGTTATAGAGTGAGACTGTCAGTTATAGAGTGAGACTCAGTAATAGAGTGATGGCGGGCAGTTATGGAGTGAGGCGGTCAGTTATAAAGTGAGGCGGTCAGTTATAGAGTGAGGTTGTCAGTTATTGAGTGATGGCGGGCAGTTATGGAGTGAGGCAGTCAGTTGTAGAGTGAAGCGGTCAGTTATAGAGTGAGGCAGTCAGTTGTAGAGTGAGGCGGTCAGTTATAGAGTGATGGCTGTCAGTTATAGAGTGATGGCAGTCAGTAATAAAGGACTGGCGGATAGTTATGAAGTGACGTTGTTATTTTAATTTTTATCACTCAGTTATCGTAATATAAATTTTGTATTTAAATACAATCACTAAGATTCTATTGTTCAAAATGTTGTCTGTACGTTTTATTCACGCTCTTTTATTAACTAATTATTTTTCACAAAATAAGTAGAACATAATAAATTGAATGGAAAAGGTTCCCAATTTCATATAAAATCTACAGGCAACTTCAATAGAGTCAACATAAACATCGACTACCTTCGAACACACCAAACGATACTCTGTCATCGGATACGTAAAATAAGATCAGACTTACATTACACCTGAACTTATTTATGGCATTGCAAATTAAAGAAATCGTCATAAAAGGAAGATATTAGCAACAAGAAAGCCACCAATGAGTTCTTTCGGTTCAAGTTCTCCTGCTCTGACAACTCTAACGCAATTATAAGTGACTCATTGGACACACTTGATATATTAGAGAATAGATAATCTAGGCGCTTACCAACAGTTAAAGCGGCTGACCCCGTAACGAATCAAGGAATATGTTAAATGTGGGACAGACCCTTCTAATATCTGGATCAATGTTGACAAAACATCAGCTAAAGAGTTCTTAAAACTTAAAATCATTACAAGCAGCATCAGAATTAATGCAAGCAGCAAACCATTCACCAAGCGCACCAAGTTAAGTTGGATCCGCAAGCGAGGCACTTCACAAATATTTATTTTACCTTTGGGCAAGCAAAGTTTCGGACACAAAACAACTTAAAATTTATATCCTTAGCTGCAGCTTGCTGATCATTAAGTCACTTACCGTCTATGATCGAAGCCGCAATTGAATTATGAGCACCACAAGCTAAGTTGTGACATATTTAATACTCCACATACATCCTTGACATATTCTATACTCACTATATTAACTTCTATCAGTATTAACTGCTGTTATAACAAGCTTGTTATTTAAGCATGTGATGTACCACCGGTAGCACCCAGCTTGTTCAACTGGGAGCAACACGTCACCCAGACGCATTTTAGGCACCCTAACCTCGATCACTGTACAAACCCACCTAAAACTAGCAACGAGCCTCGCAGCACCCATTTCGCCACTTGCACATTATTAAGCACAGCTTGCATGGCTCCAAATCATGTGGCAATAACACTCCTGCATGCCAAATCACAGATGACATGACACCATCTTCACCTCAGCAGCAGTATGCAGGGCTCTAAATCATCCATAGTCTACTTCACAGCAGTAATAGTGAACAACATAGTGCTCTCTTAAACTTCAAAGTTCCCAGAGCAGCATTTAAGACAATCTGCCATTCACTAACTATATCCCATCAGAATAAAAAATCACGGCTCCAAAGCACTCACCGTCTATGACGCCAGCAGAAAGAATAGTGACAGTCAACAATATCAGCAGAGATTCTTTTTGAAAGGTTCCTGCCGACATTTTGAGCGAGACGCTGATTCTGAAAACTCCGCTTGGTCGTAGGCGTCTGTTTGTTCAACTAGGGGAAATTATTAGAAGTTATCACGCAAATCATATAAAAGCAAAACCCCTGCTAAATATTAGAAATTAGGTCAGTGGCTTTTACCAACGACAAAAATCCATTTCCGAATAGACTTCTAATTCTAACATATTACATTCATAAAAAATCTAAATTACAACGCGTTAGAAGTATAATAATTATTTCGTAAATCTCGATAAGTTGGACACATTAATGACTAAAGACTAAAAGAATTTCACCAACGAGTTATTACATTTTTCGATTATATATCGAATGATTTACGCTACTCACTTGTTGTCAACCATGCAGCTTTATGGTTTGCCTCCTGAGATATATGCGGTCGAGCGCTGAATTTATTGAAACGTACTATCACCGACGAGATGGTCAGTGTATGAGGCGGGGAATGATCAAAGCGGTCTCACGACAGCCCGATGATGTCAGAGCTCCATTATCGGAACACTCCAGATACATCTGCTTGCTTTTCCAAGAAGTTCTTATTAACCCTGATACAGAGACCGCCACACTGGCGACTTAGGTATGCAGTATATTATGTCTTCCGTCATTCGACGAGTTTTTTTTCGGAGTTAATTTTACTGAATTAAATAAAATATAATTTAGTTTGTAATTGTGAACAAATTATATCACATATTAAAGAGTATATATGATTGCGTTGCATAATAAGTTGAACAAATTTTACTTGCACTTGGTCACAGAAGACATAGCTTAATAAACTCTAGAGCGGGTAGCATTTTTGATATTTTTTAGCAGCCATCAGTATATACCGCTTGCTTCTGACCGGCGTCCTTCTGGTAATGTACTCTTAAAACTCGCTAAGTACTCCTAAAACTCACCAATATGCGAGTAAAAGTAGCGGACAAGTACACGTAGCAGCCGGTTTCTCTTCTGTGATTGGTGGATTATCATCATGGGTATCCTCCGAACGTGAGATATTTGGTGATTATCAGAGCTGGGCAGCGCTACTCTGAAATGTAGCGGCCGCTACCGCTACATGCTCTAAATGTAGCGGGCGCTACCGCTATCGCTACATGTAGCGCGCTACTGCCCACCTCTGATGATTATACACCAGAGCCGGCGTTGTGACAATTTCGAGTGGTGCGTTGGTTTAGTTGTTTCTAGCTAATTAACCGATAACTGTTACATGTGAAGTTAGGTCTCAACTAAACTCTAAATAGAAAGATGCCTTAAGGAAGTCAAAGTGTATGTAATTTTTATAAGGCGTGAGATATAATTATTTTATTTATCGTAATTTTGATTCTATAGTTTTACGTTGATCATATACCTTTTACAAATAAATTAGAATTGCTAGATGATGTCATTTTTTGACGGCAAACTGTTACAAACAGTATTTCCTCTAAAAAGTGAGGACACTAAAATTTACAAACATGTAATATTGAATGATAAAGTCTCTTACTCAATCCAATCTTCAGCAGTATTCTCTGTCGCTGTTATTGTGAGAGTGACGTTAGTAAAATGCAGCGGCGGGACAGTAAGATCAACCGACGAATCTTCAACTGCACCCTCGGTCAGCGTCGTCGTATCCAAATCTGTCTTGTTCGTCCAACTCATCCGTGTGAAGGTCAGATTAAAATTCAGCAGCTGCAAAGAAGCATAGTTGAGCTCGCTAAATAAAAAAATTAATGGCTCCAGGTATTTTTCAATTTTGAACAGATCGTTCATGCAGAATTAATGAATTTGATGATGAGTTTTTAAAATGAATTTTTGATGAATTAATATTCCTAATGATTTTTTCGATGAAATTTCACTAAAATTCCAACCTACGCATTTTGATGCGCTAGCCAAATGCCAAACACTAATTATTTCTATTCAATATTTTAAGGAATCGCTATTTCTGTGATAAAATGGACGAAATATTTTTCTTGCCCATTTAGCAATTTTCATTCTGAGTCGTATATTTATAAAGCATAGTATAGTATTATTTTCTTATATAGGCAGGATGTCGTTTTGCATGGTCATTGCTGTTCGACAATCACAATAATATGTAATGCGGTAAACAGAAACTTTTTTATTACGCCAGTTTCATTTGAGATATTAGTTAGATTTGTCTACAGTTCTGTCATTTTTTCAGCTTACATTCCGAAAGAAAAGGGCATCCAATTCAACAGCGTAAACTAAATATTTTTCAAATAATCCAGCTCATATATGATCTAATTATTCGAAAACGATATACTCCCCATCAATAACTTTAACTTAGGAAGCGCACCGAAAGAATATTGGGCAATTTGGCCACTGCCAAAGATGTCCCGAAGGAGAAGTAGCGAACGACCATACAATATACGACTAGCGAACTACCATGCAAAATACAAAAACATTAAAAGTGCCTATTATGTCAGCGTATTAGCGATATAAATTCAGGCGCAAATCGTAGTGTGCCTTTTATTGAAATTTGTTTGGAAAAATCCTTCATTGTAATAATTACGACACAAGTTACCATCACCTCATAGAGAGAATCAGAAATTTATGTTCAAAGTTAAGAACGTGATCCTCATGACCAAGTTAATTTCAATATAAGGTTAATTTTCACTTCAATTTTTAAATTTTACGACGGGGATAACAGTGAACAGACAAACTTCACGAGAGTCTTCAAGCAATTGTAGTATAAAATGCAGCAGTGCCCATGACCCGCAGTGGGCAGCGAGCCCACTGCGGGTCATGGGCCCATAGCCGGTTTCTCGCTAAGTATGGCAGATATTGGTCCGTGTTCTCTACCGCCGGTCGACAGTTTCACTGGGATGAATTGTACGGATTTACGTTTTGTTAAGGGTTTGCGTTATTAAGTTATTTGTGAATAACGGTTTTAGCCCAGATAAAATTTTTTTGCTGCTAAATAAAACTGTTTTCGATTAATGTAGATGAAGCTTTTGAAATTACTGTGAATTATATTTTGAAAATAATGTTTATAGTGATAATTTTGAGATCAAGTTGAGACTATTAGCTTCTAAAATAAAATGTTGACACGATATAAATTGAAATCGTAATTTTGATTATACCAAGTGGGGCAACGGGCCCATGCACGCGTGTCACGGGGCAAAGCGCCCATGGTGAAGTCTTGTGTTATATATAATTAGATTTGTCTCAATGACCTTTTCAAAACTATGACTAGCTTTTTGAATTACAAATTACACTTCATATTGCATGATTTTTTGATTTGAGTTTTTATGGTGTTGTCTGAAATCACGATTAGGTACGAATTTTCTGCACATCTGAATTGTGGACGAAAATAATAATAATATCTGGATTGTGGACGAAACTGGAACGAAGTTTTTTCTGATCAATTAAATATATTTTTTCTAGTCAAGGATACATTTTTCATGTCAAGGACGAATTTTTTATAGCAAGGATATATTTGTCAAGTCAAGGATATATATTTTTATGTCAATGAAATATTTTTCTTCAGGTCAGTGATAGATTTTTTGAGCCAAGAGTATATTTTTTTAATGTTAAGGATATGATTTTTTGAGTCGTTAATAAATGAATGAATGTCATATTTTTATTACATAATTCTTATTTTTAACAGTAAAGTGTTGTTTTATCATTTTTAAACGAAAAATATGCAATTGCGGTAAAGGGACCAAGGGTGGGCGCCTTTCCCCAAGCCCATGGGCCCATTGCCCAGGGGTGGTGCAAAAGGCCAATTTTGACACTTTTTATAAAATAGTGTTACGTTAAATTATCATCGGCATGAAATTTTTGCTTGATTTCATCTTGATGCAGCTCATTAATATTCATAATTACTTCAATTGCATGAAGCACGACAACACTCGCGCTAGATTAGCAGCATAACAAACGATCCGAAACCTTTATCAGATTATACTTGAACTAGGAGACTTCCATGGTATGAATCCCTGCCAAGGATTTCACCCCAATCTTTTCAATCTCATTATTTAACTCTAGGGGAAAATACTTCCGGGATCGATCATGACATTCATTTTCCATGAGGTATGCAAATAAGAATTAATTTTATCTTCTTTTTGCTAAATTGGGAAACATTAATTCATAGGATCAATGAAAAGTTATGAAGTGTGTAAAAGTAACATTCAGAATTTTGCCGTGTTCAGTGATTCTATACAGCAGGTCTAAGTTCGTCATTTGTTGTATTTGTGAACATTCGGCTCTGTATTTCTAAATATTTCTCTTCACTTTTTATATTTTAACTTTGCCTTGCATAGGAATTGCCAAGGCAGTGCATGAATATCCGAGTCTCAGTATTGTTACAACTATAATTCTGCGGCCGGATGATGTTGGGTGTGCATTTCTAAAGTATGGGAGCGAAGCTAATATAATCACGTCGCATTAATCCTGAAATTTCTAATATTCCTCATTGATAAGTCTCATTATAAAAATATTTGACTAATATTGGGAAATTAGGATGCATATGAAGATCAAATAAATATTTATCATATCCATAGAAATTTACAACCAGTACAAAAGAAAACAAAATCTAAACAAAAGCCATTTTATCTTTGTTTAGAATGAAAAAATATTGTTCTATTCTATAATTTGATATTTTTCTCCAGTAACAAATTTAAATTTAACCCTGCCCTATGTATCTACAGCGTTTAAGCGCAATACGTAATTAAAATC